TCCTGCACTTCAAGCCTTCAAGGACATGTGGCAGGTGATGCCGACGACAGGCGACACTAGTTTGGGAAGTGGGGGTGGGGGTGGAATGCTCGTGCGCAAGCTCTGTGACCGCAGCGGGTTACGGCGTCGCCCAGCATGTTCCGACCGCACGGTGACGGGGCCCGGGGGCGGGTTTCTGTTGGCGGCGAGCCTTGTCGCCTCGAGGCTTGTACATGCTATAATGTATATTCCTTTTTGTTGCATCGGGCCTCGAGGACGCAGGGTGGCGGAGATATCATGAGCGAATGTATATTGTCGGGGTTTCCGTAAAGCTTATTTTTTTCTTGAGTGTCCACCCAGCAACTCGCAAGGTTGGGTTGGGGCAGCGGGCAGCGGGTTATACCTATGCGTATTCTAGGCAAGTCACGATGTTGTGGTATACCCGAGGTTTATGGCCGCGTTGGCGCTGGAAAGGTGATCTCGAAGTTGGAAGAAGGATGCAGGGTGGCGGGGACTCATCAGATAGATACATGTACGAAAGTCATGTAGGGAAGATATATCCGAGCTGCATGAATGTTTCTTGCGAAGAGGGACAGTGCAAGTACTTACTGTATGGATGAGAATGATGACGATGAGCGAGCGGTGAACTTGAGGGAATGTTAGGGTTTGGTGTCAGTGCCTATTACATGGCTCCGTCTTGTATGGGCTGTGCCCAGTTCCTGCCAATGCACATTCTTATTCTTTTAGGGATCCGAGGTCGGCCTCGAGGATAACTTAGGCATGGCGATGCCCAGACTAGATGCAATTTCACTGCCTATTGAGTTTACTGATTATCGACAGTGCTAGATGCTCTTCGAGATCCCGACGCTGGGGAGACGCGCTACGGGGGATAGGAACAGGAGCATTACGGGTACACTGAACGTATAGGAGCGATGTAGGGGAAGTTGTACAGGGGATTGTCAGAATAGCTTGGGAGGGGAGCGAGGAACGTGTGATTTGGTGGAGCAGAAACGGGGTGTGGGAGTTGCCTAGTTGGACATGGGAACCGATTTCGACAAATTAGGACGGATGGGGATCCTGAGATTGGGTGAATCTGAGATGGGATCGGGGGTTCGCAAAAGTTTTGTTGGGTGAATAAAATACTCGACTGCTATTGAATGGACGGCTGCCATGTCCACCTCGTCCATCGCCTCGTCCCTCTCCCTGCAGGACCTCTACCAACCCCAGTCCTACCACACAGACCCCCACATCCGCCGCGACTCCCCGCTCCTCGGCTTCGACAACTACTCAGATGACCCCCTCCACTTTCCCGCCCCCGGCTTCCCGCGCGACCTCTGCGACTCCAAGGCATGTCCGCCCTCTTCTTACCCCTACCCCCAGCTAACTTTCTCACAGCGCGAGAATGCACCCCTCCCCCTGCCCCCCGCCGTGATCCCCGCCCTCCACACACGCGCCTCTGCCCTGTCCCTGCGCAAACGCGCGTCCGCCCTCTCCCTCCGCCGCATCCCCACCAGCTCGTCCATCTACCCCGACTCCGTCCGAAACGCCGTCTACATCGATGTCGACGACGTCGGGGAGCGCCTCGGAGCCCTTCTTCACGCCTCCACGCTCTCCCGTACCTCGTCGTTCGACTCCACTCTAGAACTCGACGAGGACGAAGGCCCAGACGAAGACGCAGCGTACTTTAGTTCGCTCTACGAGAACCCCGCCGGGCCCTCTTCACAAGTCTACCTCGGTTCCCCATACGCACCCTCCTCCCCCTTCTCTCCGCCCTCCCCCCTCGACGTGTGCCTCCCATACCACTCCGCCTACACCTCCACCACGACCTCCCCCACATTCACACCCATCACGCCCCTCTCACCACCCGCACTCCTCGCCCCACCCCCACACGTCGGCTCCCGCTGGTCCCTCACCTCCTCCCTCGAAGCGCCCCCAAACACCCCCGACCACCCACCCGCCAAAAAAGAAAAAGAAAAGGGCAAGAAGGGCCTCGCCAAGCAGGCTTCGTCGCGCGACCTCAAGGAGCGGGAGAAGGCCGAGAAGGCACCCAAGCGCAAACGCCTTACGTCCTTCATCTCCCGTCTCAGCCTCGGCGCCGGCGGACTCCTCTCCCCCACCACCACCTCCTCCGCAGGCTCATCCGCCACGTCTCTCCCCGCGCAGGAGCGCGAGATGCGGGAGGCGTACCTCGAGCGCGACGACCCGCCCATGATCATCCGCAGCCTCGCCTCCCCCTCCACCCACGATACTACCCCAGACGCATTGTATCAGTCCCAGCCCGAATGTGACCGTGACCCGCATCGCCCCACCCACGCGAGCGCCAACAGCTGGTCCTCCCTCATCCAAGGTCTCGGGCTCGGGCTCGTAGACGACGACCCCGCCCCGCCCATACCCGCGAAAGACAGGACTCAACATGTCCCGCGCTCGCCACGTACGAAGCCCGCGCTGTCTATCTTCACCCGCCTGGCAGCGCCCGTATCTGCCTCCCAGATCCTGCACTCCCCCGCGTCTGATTGTGGGGTCGAGTGTGAACGCGAATTTGGGGAGGTGTTGGATCGTGGAACAACACCAGCCGGCGTAACGCCGACACCACCCACGCCTACGCCGGCCTCGCCTTCCTACTACTCCTCATCCTACGGGGATGCAGAGTCGAGGTCGGCGAGCCCATCCTCGCGGATGGCATTCACGTGTGCACCCCCGTCGCCTACGGCGTCTGTGCTGGACAGTGATATGGGGCACGGTTCGCGCCGTGAGAGGGAGCTGGAGAGAAGGAGGAAGGAGGGGGAGAGGGTTAAGTCGACGGTGCAGCTTGAGATGTTGTTGCCTTCTCCTGAGCTGTCTGCGCCCTCGCCCTCGCCTGTACCTTCGTCTTTGATGAATGGGAAATCTGTAAAGGCGAAGAAGGAGAAGAAGCCCAAGAAGAGCAAAGCCAACCTCTCCCTCAACACCAACACCATCAACACCAATACAGACAGCGACTCCATCCTCTCCCTAGGCCTCGGCGTCCTCTCCACCGCCCCCACCTCCCCTTGCTTCTCACCCACCTCACCCACCTCCCCCTCCTACGCCTTCCCCGCCTCCTCTATCCCCTCCGCACCGGCCTCGCCTGAACGAGCGGTGAGGAGTAGACGCAGCACGGGGCTTGGTGGGTTCAGGGGGCTGGCTAGGCGTATGCGTTTGGGGTCCACGCCCACCCTTGCGCCTGCTGTGCCGAAGAAGGACCCTCACACCCAAGGATTTGTGGTTCCCTCGGGGTATGGGGAGTACCCGCCGCTCCCGCTGAGCCCAAGAGGGGAGGGTGTGTACACACCGGATGGGGAGTGTGTGTACCCGCAGGAGGTGGAGAGGAAGACGAGGCTGGTGTATCCGTATCCGTATGTGGATCCTGGGGTTGGAATTGGGAGGCCGGGGAGGAGGGGGTATGGCCATGCTAGGAGGAGGGAGAGCGTTGTGCTTTGAACCTGAGCTGTGTAGTGCGAGGTACGTTTTCTTTCCTTTTCTTTCTTTGTTGGGGTTGTTCTGACGCTCATACTGTGTTAGGCTAGGCCTGCAACTACCCGCCTCACGGTTCCCGAGAACGTTGGGTGTGGAAAGACACGCACCTTGCGAAATATCGCCACCACTCGCCACGCCCGACCTGCCGCCCGGCCCTCGACACTGGGCTGTGGGGACTGTTCCTCTATTTTTCTTTATTTTTTAACTTTTTTTTGCTATTAGACTCTATACTAGACTTTGTGTTCTCCGTTTCTTTCTTCATTTTTCTGTCCCTCGTTATCCTTTTCTTGCTCCTTGCTCCTTGTGCTTACTGCTTATATCACCGTCTATCGCTTTCTGCACTGGGACCACCACCCACCCCCTCCGAATCACCATCAGCCACCGAGCGCTTTACCGTCTGACTCGCCCGCCACCCGTCACCCGTCACCACCACCACCACCACCCTCTCCGAATCATTACCACCAGCCACTGACCGCTTACCGCTGGCGACCAGCCAACGAGCGCCTTCCCCCCTACCATCCCCTCTGAATGACCACCGGCCACCGAGCGCCTTACCACCTGAATCACCACCACCACGAACACCACCACCGCCGCCAGAAGCACTGGTACCCACATTATCGCCCACCATCGCGATCATCTTATCACCCCAACCCGCTCCGCACCGCCGCGAACCCCACACACGCTCCTTGCAATTGTATCTCCATTCGCATTCGAATAAGACACTCATTTGTACACCCACGCACACACACATTCGTTGACTTGTTTTTCTGTTGCATTTCTGTACCACACTCGTTCTTCGCTCAATCTCTGTCCATGTACGCACCACGCTCTTTTTGTTTCTTTATCTCATACGTCGCATATCTCGCGCTCTGCTATTGCATTGCATCCTCGGTGGATTTCGGACATTACTCTTACTGTACACTGTACACTGTACACTTTTTAGTACGGGTGTTTCTGGTGCTCGTTTTTGGCTTTTTCGTGTTATGGGGTTGGATGGAGGGAGGAAGGTAGAAAATCAAAGCACGGTTGCTACATGTAGTTACGGGTTGCACTTTTACATGTAGTGGAAGAGAAAGAATTTAAAAAGATGTATTAATCGCGTCGATGATTGAACAGTGAACACCCGCGAAATGTTTAGTGAGGAGGAGTCAGGACCACGAGGACTTGGAGGAGGACGGGACGGGAGGAGAAGCAAAAGATGAGTCGACCCAGGTTCGAACTGAGGACCTTCTGTGTTGTGACAGCCTCGATATTTCGATTCGAATGTTCATTCGAATCGAAATATCGAACCCATGTTAGACAGATGCGATAACCAACTACGCCATCGACCCTTTGGTTTGAGGCGGGGATAGAGGGGATTTATGAGTTCTTTGAGGTGAAAGGGAGGAGGTGTTCTTGATCTGAAAAAGAGGCGGGTGGACGGTGGTGAAAATTTGGAATATGCAAAAATTCCCTCCATCGCCACTGGCCAGACGAGAGAGGTAGGCTGGAGGTAGGTGAAGGTGATGTACATGTGTGGCAAAAGATGAGTCGACCCAGGTTCGAACTGAGGACCTTCTGTGTACATACGTAGCCTTGATAGCTATGTTAGACAGATGCGATAACCAGCTACGCCATCGACCCTTGGGAGGCGGGGGATGAAGAAGATGTTCGAGCACGCGCTGACCTGAAAAGGTGCGTGCACCAAGTTGCCATCCCAATTTGGCACATGCGTTATTTGGTGGTCTGCTTTGGAGACAAACAACTGAAACAAACTTGTTCAATGGTCTCCTTTCTCTTACCTTTCTCCGACTTCTACTCCGCTAAAACTTCTATGCAATCCTGGCCAACAGCTATGATCATAGGGAACCCCGAGATCCCACCAACCCGGCATCAACGGGTTTCACTTCGACGACTCAAACGCCTTCGTTCTCCGAGATCATCAAGTTTTCGTGTTCTGGAACAATTACCAAAGCCTTGCGCTATGTTCAGCGCGGAGAAGGTCTTCTGTTGTCGTGGCTTTGATGGTGATAGCTCACCATTCGCTATAGATGGAGCTCGCGATATCATTGACCCACTCAGATACGCCCGACTCCCAAGAGGCTAGCTGTTCCACCACTTGCGACTAGCCAAAACCTTCGTTATCAGCATGTTCCATCCAGATTCCACCTGAATGACCAACCATCAACCGACTGTAGACTGAAAGCATACTCAGAAGGCTTGCGTTCTTCATTCCACGACCAGAAGCCCTCCGTAATTCTACCATTTTCAAGGCCTCGAGACTTAGATCGGACTAGTGACTCAACTGGGCAGTGCGAGCCTCGTGGCGAAGAGAAGCGTCTTTCCTCAACAGTCACCCTGGATGCTAGAGCAACTCCTGATTCGATTTAAACCGACTCTGGTGTGATGCCCGGCCATTATTTCTGAACATCACGATCCGAAGAGCATGGCATTTCGCCATATTCTTTCCGTCCCAACTCCCCTCCTTCCAGCGCGGAGGCGTCTTCGCATGGTGATGAGTTGCAGTCACGGATCGCGCTCGAACAGTTGACGACGCTTCCCAGATTCTGACAGATGGCTCCGTTTCTGGCGTTCATTGGAGGTCGTACTCCACACCAGCGACAGATCTTAATGCAGCTGCTTCTAGCTGGTTAAGACCAGGATCATATTCGCGAACGTGGACGCTAGGACACTTTGGTGAAGCAGAGAATTCCTAAAGGCCAACAGATAGTCAGCCACGGATGTTCTTTTGAACAGGATTAATGCGATCTGATAGTCATGTCGAGTGTTGTAATTCTCAAAGAGCCTTCTATTCTAGAGGACGGGCGTGGGCGCCCGAAGAGCTTGTGGTATCTGTATATGTGGTCCTCTACGATGCCAATAACCATTCTCAACTTGGAGCTACGTCTTCGAACAAGCCTGCGCATCACTGTGTTGGACGAAACCTCCGCAGAGCAAAGGGACGTGGTGGGCTTTGTGATGCAGACACACGTCTAATGGTCACGGAAGGTCAACAAGCCTGCTTGGAAGCAGGGAAACAAGCCTCAAAACGCCTCAACAGCTCTCGTTCAACTTGACGTGGCTGTGTCCTATCCAGGACTCGGGTTATCGTTGCCTGCCCAGATTCATAAACGTGCATTGTGGCAGGATATTGACGCTTTATGTACTTACATGTACGGATGTTTGTCGATCCATCTGTCGTTCGTTGGCAGGTGTGAGAGGGCACACTCTGGGCTGGAATAAGCATACAGTCGTAACGTATTTTTTCCCAAGCGCTGCAACTCCACCCTCACTATCTGAGCGTCCATGTCTACCATGTCCATGTTTTCCCATTCGTTTCATCCGAGACCTAAAACGGGAGATGCATGGCGTCCTACGCAACCAGGTTCGTCTAGTCCCATCGAAGTCGCTGTCTGGCAGTTTCTTCTTCTACTGACCGTTCAAATGTTCAGGCTCCTGCCCGTTATGTCATTTGTCTTGCAGGTTACTGGGGTCTCCTTCGAGCTGCAATCATTGCAGCGGAGTAAATCTTGCACACCACTTCGGCTTTTGCCAGTAAGCGGCCGATCCGTCATTGACCCGTTCATCTTACCGTCTTCCACGAATCCTACCGCAGAAGATTGGCTACAACATCAGTCGCTCAATGGCATCGTGCCCCGAGATAATGAAAGAAGTGGTCGTAGCGGGCGAGAGAAGTCCCTCCAAATTATCCGCCAATCATTTCGAGTATGTACGTATATTGAGAAGGCAGGTTTATTTTGATCCTTGTATATGTTACCACCGACCCGTCATTCCTTAAATTCTTTGTCCACATCCTGGCGCGCCTGTGAGCCATCCAGTCGTTCGGCGCTCAGACCAACCTAAGTATGTGGTTAGCTCCGCCGCGCCTTCGGAAGCGCAGCATCACCACTACTGTAGGCGTCTTTCCTGGAAGCCGTGGACTACCACCCACCCCCTCTACATCCGCATAGACAGGATCGACTCTGCGCCGTAGACGCGGACATGAATTCTTCCAACACACATGGCATGGAAGTGTGGATCTAGAAGCCTATGTTATTTCCGCACCCTGCAGATGTTCGAGGGTCGCATACGTATGATGGTTTGGCATCATTTCCGATGATAGCATCGTGGAACGGGTGCAGACGGTGGTGGGAACTCCAGGATCGTCTTCGGCAACTTTTCCTTATGCTGAGATCCCGGATTTCATCTTCGGGCTGTCAAACTCTCCTGAGATTTTAATTTGGCATGGGCTGCCGATTTAGAACCATGGAAACCGTATGAGGAACTTCATGTCATACTGTTCTCGGAAAGACGCCCACAATCACATACTCAATGAATATACTGATGAGAAGGCTCAGGCGCCTCTCCTTCGTGAGCGCCTTTGTCGAGACTGTAGTCATCGACTGATGGAAATCTGTCGCATCATTCACAGTAAGATAATTTCATACTACACAGAGCAAATAGATATGTGGATGCAAAGTACTAAATCTACTAATACTGAAACTCAGGCCATGTCAGACGCGTCACTCTTTCCATCCCGCCTGCGGTGCGGGAAGCACCGAGTCCATGACCCCTTCCGCGTGTCCGCAGTCGTCCCGGCCGTTCCATCCTGGGGGCAGCATCGAGTCGATATCCCATTCCACGTGTCCCTGATGGCCTCCCGGGCCAACGAGACCTTCCAGAAACCTGTATTGAACACTGAAAAACCTCCAATAGTCGACGCGCCGAAAAGAATCCAGAAAAAAACTTTCAGCGTGAACATCGAGTATGCGAGGAAGAGGAAGAAGCACAGAAGCATCATCGATGCCACAAGCTGTAGATGGTCACAGTATTTTATGTAGCGGAAGAAGTCAACCTGGGCGAAATGGCGCGAGCCTTCAAGAGAGGGTAGACGTTTCGAGCAGTGGATAGATTTTGACTCGTCGCGAACGGCCGCTGCAGACAGCCGAAAGCAGAGTGCGGCGGCGCGTCCAGCCACAACTATTACGCCGATATGGAGACCGGTGGCTGCCATACCGAGAAGCATGCCAATATTGAAATGGATAAGCGCCACTGGGTCTGGCGTATCAGGTGCGTCGATGATATCACGCGCTAGAGCGAGAAATGCCACGATGAGCGTGGCGGTAAATGTGGACTGCATGTATACTCAGAAGCTTGGACTCAACAGGTAGAGGATGGTCCACGTACAATGAGTACTGATGTGCCGAATTGGCGAGCAAATGCTTCATACTCCTCAGAGGTGAAAATCGGATCCATCGATGATGTTGGTCTGACATATGGTGTCCAGTCTGCGTCTGTAGTCGAAGGCTGCTCATGCAGTTGCTTCTCTGTAATGGGCACAACGCTGCCAGTTGGTATGCTGCTGCGCGCAGTGTTGCTACTAGACGCAGAAGTGACGGAATCTGGGCGCAAAGACAACGACATTGCTCTCAGTGGTTGATGGGATGGAGCGAAGAGAGTATGAAAGGAAGATGAAAGGTACAGCCTAATATATACTTTTGCGGGGTGTTGGGGGCCAAAAGTTTGCATGGACAAGGCGAGGCTTCCCCCCGGTCTGGGAAGATTCTCCACGATCTACGGAAAAAGAACATCGCCGTAGCAGGTTGGACGGAAGATCGCACGTTAACGCCCATCTTGCAAGCAGGTGGGAATCACAGAAGAGCTCGGATGTTTTCCATAGCTTCGTGAAGGCGTCTAGTACAGCCTCGTTTTAACATCTCTTCGCGCTCTTAAAAAAGCATGAAGCGCGCTGGACTAACGCGTCCTTCTGAGCGGGTGTAGTACCGTGCAGTTCTTTTTCGATCTTCTTAGCAATAAAACGGTACAAGTGATAGCGTCCAGAGAATAGCGGAAAACTATCCAGGGAAATGCGGCGTTGAATAGAAAAAGTGCCTGGAAAGTAACCATGAAGGAACGTCTGCGCGTCCACAGCATCGCATTGCGAAGTTTGCTGTGTATGGTCTTGAGATGAAATCAAAGACGCGTGTCTTTGCAAGCAGGAATCGTGCAAGTAAGCCTCCAAGATAACGATGATCGGCAGGATTTCCAAAATAGTAGAATGACACCGGGGGCTGCGAGGCGAGGCAAAAGCAGATAGAGATGCGTCGGAATTTCATCGTACGGTGCCGAATGTCCCAGTGACGACTCCTTTTGCGAAGCGATTACCCAGAACTAGACCAATCATGTCAAGTGCAGCAAACGCACTACCGCAGATGAATGTGTTCTTAGTAGATTATCCGCCATGCGCTGGTAGCTTCCGTAGAGCAAAACTCGTTGCGGCTGCGAAGGCTCGGGGGTAACATTGAATCGCGATTGACTCAACTGTGGTGTGGAGAGGCGATCACGAAGGTGACTTTCCGCACCGCTTCCGGATAGCACGCGCCTTGAAGCGGGCTCTTCAAGGCAGATTTCGGAGATAAATTCAAATGAAACGGTGCACGGAATCGAGATGCACATGTGGCAGCAGAATGCGAACCGTGCCTTTCCGAATTTCGACCTTCGCATGTATGTCAGAAGTCGGCTCCGGTCTAAGGGCGAGCTGTGCAATGGTGCGCACCTATATGATATGGTCTACAAGCAGTCAGATGAGGGCCTCATGGAGATGGGGAGGCAGATGATCGTGTATACATCCGTCTTGGAAGTAG